CCCAATGTTCCTATTGTGTCCCATTATTAGTAGTATGAATTAGTAGCGCGATTTTACCCAGCGCAGCGGGTACCCGCAGCTAGTAATATAATAAATAATAAGATATTGCGACGGAGGTTCAGGTGCGAATGCCGTCTCGATCGTTTTCCGCTGTCGGCGGTGGCGGGAGAGAGGGTGGAAGGGGGAAGCAGGAGGAAGGAGAGGAAGCGTAGCCGCCCGCGTTTACCCGCGTTGTCTTCCTCTGCTGAATGCGCGCGTGAGAGGACGATATAGCGATAAACAATATAATAATAATAAGATATATAATAATATAATAAATAATAAGATATATAATAATATAATAAATAATAAGATATATAATAAGATATATAATAATATAGTAAACAATAAGATGTATAATAATATAATAAATAATAAGATAAATAACAAATATAATATATAATATAAGATATATAACAAATATAATAAAGATAACATGAATATAATAAAAATATAAGATATAGCGAGGGAGGCTCAGGTGCGAATGCCGTCTCGGCTGAAGGTTTAGCGGATAGCGGCGTGTGAACCCTGCTTAGTGCGTAATTTAAAGCTGCCGACGACTGCCGCGCTGCACCGTCGGGAACGTCGTCGTCGTCGGCCGCCGCCGCCGCTCCGTCGTTATTCCCGCGAAATTGATGCGTTGCCCATCTGCGTGTTAAGGGGAGGCATGAAAGTTTTATAGCATCGCGAGGAAAGTCATCAGCGTTTCGTTGTCGGTGCGCGCGCGCGCAAATGTCAGCGTCTTCAGCGAATTCCCCTCGGTGGTGGTGCGAGCGTCTTCTCTCTGAGCGGAGATAAAAGGGCGACGTTTGTTAGTAATGACTGCGAACGAACTAGCCTGTCTGCGCATATGTAGATCTACATGTAGAAATTCAACAGTACTGTACTACTGTGCAGTATTGTGTGTGCGCGGGGCGGCTGCTTCCAGGAATGCACACACGGGTCATACTTTCGATATATACATACATAAATGAATAAATCAATCGATATATAAATGATATCAGGATTTAATAATGACAAATTTTCATTTGTCATTATTAA